TACTAAAATAAAAATTTAAACTCTCGAAACTTTTGGAGGAACATCAAATCGGTTTCAGTGATTGTTGCAACTGACTTAACCGATGATGATCAACAAATGGTATATAAAAACGAACGGACCAAAAAACCAGCGATCAAAGGTTTGTCTTTTGGTTCACTGGAAATCAACTGCAAATTTTTGATTGTTTCAATGGATCAAGTAAGCAGTCGCTTAGGACATCACGTGTTTCAACGAATATTTATTATTTTGTAAAATTTGTGGAAGTGAATTTATTGTTAGCATTCACTTCAATGAAAATTTCATCTTTGCTTATCACAGGTACTCCTTTTCCGTTGTGTGACTTTTGACGATTGCTTATGATGTGATATGCCATTACTTGATAAAAAATACTGATCGAAAGATATCAGTCAACTGCATGACGATTCGGCATTTAGGTAACTATCTGTCTATTGATGGAGTTCCTCCACGACCACAAAGCGCCGAAATGTTTCTAACGGTGTCAGAGGATGAGGAAAGGCGGCGCGCATCGATGGATGCTTATCATCGTCCTGTCCGCAGACAACTACCTAATATTGAATATCTGAAGCAGGTTTGTGAATCTTAAACATTCCAGAGAAATAGGGTTTGCTTGGGCGTTTGGTAAAAGTGTTCTCGACTCATAGTCAGGATAATTAAACTTTTATTTTGCATTATGGTGGCTCTTTTGTAGAGGATGATTCAAGATATTATCTTACTTCGTCAGTTTTTTATAAACACAATTGTGGATGGTAGTTCCAACGAGTTTATCTTTATTTATCTCAAAAATGAAGTTCGAACGAGTGAACCAAATTGATTGTTGTATTCTCGATCAGTACATGCGCAACTTTATCAACAGAATAATGCACTTTCTTTCTCGTTCATGAGCAAATGAAATGAATGTTCTTATCGGCAACAGATATATTTATCGATGCCAATCGATGACTAAATCAAATGATAGATTAACTAATCTTATGATTCTTTTGGCATCGAAAACTGCTATTTTTGGATTCTTCGCATACTTTATCGCATATCAGGCGATATTCTTCGTTTATAGCTGACTGAGTGCTTCGTCTTGCTTTAGAATCATTTTGGACGAAATCATGATCAAATGCATATCTTTTAAAAAAATATATAAAACTGCATTAAAAACAAGAAAAACTCCTAACTGAACTCATGAATATTGTTACAACAAATATTCTGTGCATCATAACTAACAGAAACGAAGTGAACACACAACTATGGCCAAATTTGCGTTGTTCTGATTTATATGATCCATACATTTGACGAATGTTAAATGTTTATTGTGTCGAATCAGGAATGATGTATGAATATTATGCGTTGCATCTGTCTGGCGTCATTTTTGTACATCTGTTGCAGTAGATAGGTAAGCAACATCCGTATTTGACTGTTATAAGCCATCTTGATTTGAAACAAGAGCGTAAATGAATTCCATAGCATAATTTCAATTGAGACATTTCTCGTGGAATACTGAACTCAGTTGATAATCAGTGAATGTATAGATATGAATGTTATTGAACCATGGTTGCCTGGTGATGAAGGAGTGTATAGTGCTTAAGGATTATTGCATGAGAAACGTTCAAACTGAAGTTTTAAGAATCATTTGATTGAATCAAGTCAATTCTTCATTAACAGTTCGATTTTTTTCACAACAGCGTACAAATTTGATTCACGAATGATCTCCGCAATGAACAACCCTGTTGTCAACTCTTTTCTAACATTCCACTAATCGTTCAGTGATCTTTTCTTATATTTTAGTGTATTTGAAATGGGTCAACAAATAAGAATCTTTAACTTACACTACTACTACTTGAGTCTGTCTCCTCCTTCCCCCCCCCCCCCCCCCCCCCNTTTTGAGTAACAGTCATCCTTCATTCCGAAACTGTAGCTATGCAACTGGGCGTAGCAGTAATGGTAAGTAATAACGTTAAACGTAAACAAGCGATTTATCACCGCTTTTCAATGAAAAATACGCAAATGTTTGTATAGACAGAATGATAGGCTTTTGTATTTGAGCAGATGCGATATTATATGAAATGATATTTAGCATAAAATGATATCATCTGCAAATGACAGAACGCTCACGATCACTACCATAGCTCTCGTGATCAATCCATCTAATCAATAACAAACAATTTACTTACAACTAATCATGAGTGCGGTAAACGGAATATCACTGTATTCAATGACTACACATATTAGGAAATGGATATGGGCCGGTTAATTTTATGGTTTGTAAGGCTTTAAAATTAAGATTGCGCTGCTTTCCCAAAGAAGAGCTCTATTTCGTTCTATTTGCAAAATTCAGCCTTCAAAGAGGAGCAAACCTAATCAATCGAGAACATAATTATTTCACACAAACTAATAAACTGTTAGCTGCTCTGATGTGGTAATATAAGATTCGTTGTTTCATAAGTCAATGATCAGGGAAGCAAAATATCGTCAACAAAATTTTTTACTTAGACCATAAATCAACCAATTTACTTTCCAATCACAGCGAAAATTCTCCGATTACCTTCAGTCCTATTTCATATACCTGTGTAATTCATGGTGATTGATTTTCATTTGTTTTTCCATGGTAATTTGAGTTATTTAGCATGGCCCAATGACGTAAAAACTACAATTAGATGTATTTTGGGAATCAAAATCTAGGAACTTATTATGTTGACATTTTCAAGATGAGTCTTCGAAGTACAAGTAGTTTATCGATGAAACTTTTTGAGATCTCTTGCGTGCATTAGATTCACACGTTACGTTCCGTTCGAATTAGCAAGAAAATTTTTATACATTACTGCCATCACACCACTCTTCCATCGTCCGTAACGATTAAGTTCAGATTGTTTTCACTGAATGGATGATATTCAAATGTTGTAGGCCAATGGTTCTATAGGGGAGCGATTACTCCATGAAGGTAATTAGGGGAGGGGGGGGGGGGGGGGGGGTAGGGGACAATTGAGGAGGTCGACAAACTAATATTTCGTGCAGTTATTATGATGGAACGCCATTGTGATGGTGTTCTTTCACTTGAGTTTCTAAATGTGGTTCGCTCATGGCAACATTCTTCTTTATACTATCTTCTGAGTATCCTTAATTCGTCTGGGCCTAAACAAAAGTCAGTTTGAAGTAGTTACAATTGTTTCGTAAGTTCTTTAATAAACTGGCTGATATTTTCTCTCATGACCAATAGGAATTGGTTGAGTCCTTTGGTGCGACAGAAAAGATCGTAAGTTTGGTGTGAGAAGAGTGAGTATTTCTAAATTTATCCATTATTATTATTTGGTTGCATTGTAAAGTTTTGGTAACTCTTCAATTATTTTATATAATGGGATTTTTTTTGAACTAAGTAACTGCTCAACCGTGTCATAGTTATCTGGTTTTTGACAAATGTGTATTACACTGTGGTGGATGTGTTGTGGGATTCTAGATTAAAAATAATTATTTTCGTACTCATAGATGAGACACTTAGGCTGCTATTGTTTTAACCATCGATGGCTTGCTAGATCATCGAAGGGAGTAATGGAGCTCCCGAACGTGAGAACCACTGTTATAGAAAGTTCCTTAAAATAATACGTTCTTCGAGAATTGATCAGAGGGAATAACCAAGTTGAATGAATCGACTGAAAATCATTTAGTTCTGTATGAAGTATATTATAACGTATTGTGGTGATGTAGGAACAAATGTTTGGATAGATAACATTCAGTAGTTACCATCAATGGAAGTGAATTGTTGTAATATAATTGATGTAATTCATTGTTATTACATTCACTGCATAATTTCAATACTGCCATAGCTACTACATTTGCACAAATCTGTCCATCACCAGCCAATATTTGTACAGCTGTGTGATTACACACCAACTCTACCTTATTTACCATCACTAACATTTCTCTAAGTAAAGGAAATTGTCTCGTTGGCAAATAGAAATCATGCCTTCATATTCAATAAATCTTTTTTTACTCGATTTATTGTTGAATCGATCTATCGATTATGTACAGTTGAATGGAACTCTGATTTATGAAGTGTTTATTAAAACTATCGCTTTTCGCGGTACATTTAAAATGAAAACAAATATTACTTGTGAGAATTTGAAGCGAAGCGGAATGATTTTATGAGACGAATAGAGAGCATCATTCACGAACAATACTTGCGCAAAATGTGTTGGACATCGATATTTCCTTTGACTGAGGCTGCTAAAAAATTGTTATTAAGATGAACAGATCGTTTCAAAGTGGCCTGTCTCGACCACTTTTATATAATCCCTAAAATCTGTTTTACGAAGGTGAGCTAGAGAAGATACACAGAATCAGTTATTAAACGGTTTGTTTGGCAAATCGGTATTCGACGAACAATCCATGAACCATGCTAGTAAAGGATAACATTCGTATCGCAAAAAGAACCCCAATAGAAAACCTCAAATATAAATGTTGCGTTCAATACATAACGAGACAACATATAAGTGCAAAATAACAAAGAGGCAAGCATTGAATAAACAAACTGATGAGAAACAAAGCAATTAAATCGAAACCAAACCTACATATATGAAATGAATCGTGTAAAACAGGAATGTATTGAAAATTTGGATGGTGTGATACAGAGCAGACTACGTAAGCATGTATAGAATGGACAAGCATACACCAGTACAAAATTTTACAAATAAGCGATTTGATGAAAGAAGTAATCATAAAAAAGACAAAATTGTTCAGAAAGCAAACTAATTCAGACTGATTCTATTGATAATCATGCAGAAAATATTCTATTCCAGCGTTTATCTACATAAACTGAAGTTCAAAAAATAATTTACGAGACGTATAGCTGCATAATATCTGATAAAACACGACTGATATAGTGAGATTATAATCGAAATAAGATGGAACATTAATCAAATAACGAATTATTATACAATTAAGTGAAATAGAGAAGGCCAAAAAGATGAGCCGAAGATCTTTAAAAAAGTCGATTTAATTCAATCGGAAGTAAGCGTTGGGAAACATTTTTTGAGAACGATAAGCATCACATCAACTGCACTACATTCGTTGAAGTCTTTTGTTATTTTTGGATCAATTACATCGTGCGATTTCGTGCAGTGTTCAACCATTTCTGCTTCATGTGCATATGTCTGCTTACATCGTTTACATCTGAATTCAGTTTTTTACAAATACCGCGTCCTCTTTTCATATACAGCTTTCATTTGTGGCGTCACCGATATCACTATTGTTATGCGTTGCAGCTGACGAACGTTTATAGTTATTGTTTGCGAGTAAGTCTGATTCAAACGTCGTGTGGAAACGAAAATCAGAAATGAGAAAAATAAACCTGAAATGCGGATGAGTGTGAGCATGACGCGAGATGCAGCTCTTCTGTGCGCTAACACTTTTCATGCACATTGCACAAATCACCTTGTTCATTGATTTGTTTTCTATATTTTTGCTTATTTTATCCATTACCTGCAACAAAATGTTATTACTGCCACATGGAAATGAAATAAAAGTGGCATTGACATCACAAACAACAACTTAGGCGTTTGCAACCTTTGAGCATTGGTTTTTCGCCATTTCCATAATTTTATGATTGATCTTGCATAACTATCTCTTATTTCTTCTATTCTTCATCGAAACAAATATTCAACCATTCTGCCACTGACATGTATTTTTCAGTTGCTCTTCCGCTTGCTATTCGTGCCAGTTTTGAAATCTGAGTGAAACTTCTCTAAGGTTTATCCCTATAACTTTCTCATTTTCAGTGCTTGGATGACTGCTTGAATGATGACCTGATTTAGTGATACAACAATTGAGCGATTTTGAAGAATAAATAATTCACCTCGTTATAACCAACACGAGTCTTAGCTGCTGTTTTGGGAAAACATTTCAACAGAATAGTCGATAAATTACTCATATCACGACGATCTTCGAAACCATTATGACCCTAAAAGAATTCATAACACCTCAGAGCAAAAAAATGTCACTGAATAATATCCATGTTGATAAAGCGAGAAGCTTCGAGAATGGAATTAATCTTTAAAGCATTTCTTACAATTAGTGTCAACTTGAAATGATGCTGCTTATAGTCTAATTGATTGATAGAGCACATACTTTGTTGGGATGGTGTTGCTTTATGTGCGCAAACATGGCATTCTGCTCTTTTGATTCAGCACCACATAATTTGCATTTGAATAATGCCGTGTCAGAATGACTGTGCACATGGTTACGTAGACTGTGTTCTCTGTTCTCCACTTTGTCGTGGCATAACTGACACTCCAAGATTTTATCCCTGAATGAACAATATTTATGAAACATTATATCGCAGAATAAATGTTTATTTGTTCTGCTAATAAAGAACTGCATTCTGCAAACGTTTAGGAAGTTTTCTAAAGCTCATGTTGAGACAAAATTCGTCTCACTACGATTCTGAGTTTTCAGCAGCAGAATTTTGAACTAACTTATTAAGATCAACTAAGGCTGGAACAGAATTAAATAAGAGGCACCTTTGTCTCAGCGCTTTTAGCTTACGATAGAATTCAATATGAGCCTTTCGCTGTCGTTTACAAGCCGTTCGATCGTCGATGCTCTCAACATCAACGTACAGTGTTTCTTCATCGTCTTCTTCCTTCTCTTTACTGCTTTTTGATGCAGTAGATTGAGGACTACTCGATTCTGTAATCAAACGTTCATGCTATATTTCAACGTCATCACCAAGATTTTATGCTGTTATTTTTGTCGGCTCAGCGATTACTGAATGAGTATTCTCTCTAGAGCACGTATATTCACTCAATTTGTCGATTTTCCACATCGCTTCTATCATTTTCATCTTTTGCAACTAACGTTGATTCCATTAGTTTAGCGATATGATCGTGAAATATGAAGTAAAAATGGACGTTTGAATTATCGAACTAATACGAGCAGGTCGGCTGTAACAGGAAGTTATTAGTATTGATATTCGTTTCATAATTCTCAGTGCAAATATTCATGATTAACCATTATCGCGCTCGAAAATGACAATGCAGGACCATTTATGAAACTGTTCCGTTGTTTGCGTACCTCTCTTTCCAGCTTCAGAGTAATGTCATTCGAATGCAAAAAAAAAAACGGAGATGAGATTTCCGTTGAAAAAAAAATACCGATCGTACATGAATGTTCACAGTAGTTTGCTGATGTCTATAACAGTGGAAGTATGATCTAATCATAGAAGGTGGTGAAATGTCAAAAAACGACTATTGTATATTTCTCAGTTCACATGGTTGCGATATTTCTTTCTCAAATTGTCTGCAAATTACTCCGAGCCCCACGACGCGCAAAACGAAATTCTCAAGATATTATTTGCTCTAGCCTTTGCTTGACTCAGCTTCTAAGTCAGTGTTGTTTGCGCGTTGCTGTTGATATCCCCAAAGTTGTTCTTTGCTTTCAATAATAACAAATATGCATGCGAGATCTATCTCACTGAGAATAAGCAAAGCTCATCTGATATCTGCATCTACACATTTACAGCATACAGAGTTGATTCTGTGCGCACGTTCATGTGACGATCGAAATGCACACTCCATTGAAAACATACATGCTCTCGATCAGAGACCGTTCAAAAGAAACTTCTGATTAGGATTAATGGTGACATCTGTAGCCTACTGAGAATAGAATGAGCAACATTTTGATGGATGATACTGCACAATGGAATGAATGACTATTATTCTGTCATTATAACTATTCAATTCTACAACTTCTTGCATCCAGAATTGAATCTTAGATTTTCATGTTTTATTTGTGTGAATAACAATGTGCATATTCGCCATTTGCTTATGATAATGTTTACAACAGATCATTGAGGATCCAATACGAACATATTCACTGATGTTAATATTAAAATCAAATGAGGTAAACAGTTTTAAAATTCACCGTGTGATGGAGAGGGTGTCGCATCAGGAGTTGGTAATGCTGGTGTAGTTGGCAAACGTAAAGTTTCGGTAGTTGGCAGCTGCGTAATGAGCGGGTGGACTAACGTTTTCGAAAGATCGTTGGAAATATTGTGCGCTTGAGGACTACTTGGCAATGCTGATGATAGGCATTGCTCATCGGATAATAATTCAGAATTACTCAACAAATACTGCGCAGCTAGAAGATTCAGTTGTTGCTGTGTATTATTGATTTGCTGCCGTTGAAACAGATCAGATTGTAATGAGATTAACTGTAGCGTTGTCAAAGGATCATCGAATGCTGATTTCGATGGAGACACCTGATTTGAACGATTCATTTTTTGTTGAACGTGTGAGGTTGATGATGACTGAGGTGATATGACGTGTCCGTATGATGGGATTGGTTTTGAGATAGTTATTGGCGTTGGACGATTTTGGAGTGATAGCTGATTGTCCGTCGATGATAATGAAGATGAAGGGGGTGAAGTAACAAATAAGAGCCACGGATCTGAGGTTGGTGACTGTGCAGGTGATGAGAATGATGAGCATGATGGTAAGACTGCAATTGGTGACGATGACGAGCACTTTGAAGACGCTTGATGGTGGGGCAGTTGGTCTGTTGCTTGAGTGCTGTTGTTCAGTAGTGATAAATATGTGCTGAGAGCATTCTGCTGATAAAATTGTTGTAAAAGGATTTGTTGCCGTTCGAACTGTTGAGCACTGGCATCCATTGATAGTGACAGATCTAAACCGCTCGATGTGCCACAAAGATCTTCAAACAGCCGATTTGATAACTGCAAACGGCCACTTAACGAAGCTATCATTAATTGTTTGAACTGCTGAAAATGAATTGTTATCATTTCGAAACGCTCGTTTGTTTACACTTCGCGGTAATAGAATCGATAAAGAGATGGAATGATCCAATGGCTGTTCATTTATTAAAGAACGGATTATGCGGTAACGTTTTTCTAATTCCTACTTGCCCTCCCTCCAATACGACCTCGATACAACAGTCAACATAACGTTTGCTTGCTCCTCTAAATAGCTAACATTTTGATTACAAAATTCGAGGAATCATGCTTCGTTACGGATGCGAATAAATCATGAGAATCTCTCAAACTAGCGGATTAATCAGCATGAGATTACTGAGCGCTGAATGAATTGCATTCTGGAATAAGTTTCATCTTTGAAAATACTTTTCTGTGCATGAAGGCATTTGAGTGTGAATTCGATGAGACTCAACAGATACCTGGCTGAAGAAAAGGTTGGTATATGAATAGAAGTGAATATCACTAAAAAACAGTGACAATATTGGCTCATTAAAGAAAAATATATATTTGAAGTTAATAAAATCTGAAATTGCAAAGGGTGGTGGAAAAACGAGGTCGTGAAAGAAATGTTCAAACGCAGGCGAATGAGGGCGAAAAGGCCTTTCGGAAGCAGATGAACTCAAATTGATGGCGTGATTCGAACATGATAAATAAGAATGTAATACTTTACTGCAATGAACGTTCACGACAAATTCAACAAACGGATCTATGAATTCAATTCATACATGAACTACAAGTTTATGCAAAATAACTATAAAGTCGCACAGAGATGTACAATTGTACATCCATAATACAGGATGAATCGTAGATTCTGTGACTGAATGAGCAACAGAACAGTACCGAAAAATGTGACAGGATGGTTGATATTGCGAGAGATGCAGTAAAGGATCGGATCGACTTTGACTAACTCCATTTATACTGGTGGGTGGGGTCGGCAAATAATTTGTTGTTTAGCTGGAAATAATCATTTGCCAGAATAACGTAGCGCATTATGAAATATATCTATGGTATACTGATATCTATCTCTCGTATTTATATATCTAAATTGTGCAACGTTTCGTTTAAATGATTCGTAATAAAGACACACCCACAAAAAAACCAAATATCACGTTGATAATAAATTTTTCTACTTATGAAGCAATCTGAAAATACCAATGGATTTGTTTAATTGTTATAATACAATAGCATTGTTACAGAGGATAGGTAGGCTAAAAAAATTATGCTGATAACTACATATAAAAATGTATTTGAAAATCTGAATTATTTGAACACCTCATTATTGCGACTCATCAAATTATATTGCATACAACTGAACACCCTTAGAGAAAACATTTCTCGCTAAAATTCAAATGATATGTCAACCTCAATCAGTTGATTACCTCTTTCATGGAGAAGCATTTGACATCAGTCGGTAATATATCAACAAAATGAATAGCCAAGGTATCGGTCTCGATTCCGGTTGAGTGACTTACTGATGAGGTATCTGTCAATGGATACCTTCTCGGTGAATGGGACAAATTCGTTCAGAATAACAGGTGTGTTTGGGGTTGCACGCCGTGGATATTCCGTGCGTTTATCGTTCTCGAATTGTTGACGGAAGCTGGAGTTAAGAGATTTTTTCCTTCGTTGTCGGTCAGATATAGCAGTCAAATTGATTTTCGCATGTGTCATTCGTAAGATTTTTAAGGGAAAAAAAGAGCGCAATTGTGATTGCACTAGTCTAAAACGTATTCAATTCAAAGTGTAAGTGAGGTATATCGTATTTGACTAAGCTCATCATGATTTATTTTGCCATTCCAAACCATCTGCCCAGTTTGCATTTTTTTGCTTGTAATGCAATCAGTCGATGAACACCCACATTGAGTTAAGTTTACGTTAGGTGAGTGATGTAGACAGACGTTTTGAGTGCACAAATGAGCTTATCGTCGTGAATTGCAGCATTGTTCGTTTTCATCTCTCAAACGAAACATTCCAGCTGCTAGATTTTCGCATTCAGCAGAATTATCGGGCAATAATCGTGCATTACGCTTTAGTTTATGATAATTTCAGATGTATTTCTGATACTTAGGCTGAGAGGAGATGAAGATGAATGTTCTGAAGTGGGTGTTATAAGCTGCGTTAATGTATTCGATAGCATGGATCAGATGCCTGTCCTGATCGCGCGCTGTATGGTCGTACGTTGTAATCAGTGCTGAATGCAAACGTTACAATTTGTTGTTTTCTCAATCATCTAGACCGAATATTTGCCTCGCTCAAAACGAATGTTTGTTAAGACAGGTAGTGTACACTGGAAGGAATGCGGCTTGCGATATTCATCATGTAGCAGCACTACGGAGTGTTCCATTTTGAGCTGAATTCAGGTTAAAATTTACTTTCAGATTCTTTCTGTTGTTTTTCACAATCTCCCTTGTCAGCTCTACGTTTGCTTAAAGGTACACATATTGTTTCTATCATTTAGTCATCCCACCTTAATCTAAGGGTAATCATCTCAAATTCATTCGTCTCAACATTCAAATTTGATCACGCAACAAAGTAGTATCAACTACGAACTTTCATTGAGCACATAATCTATGCAGATGGTTCCAAAAAGAGTTGTTCAAGTTGGGGTGTTTTAATCTATCATTTGTTGGACTCCAAATCACAGCAATATCAAATTCTACTAACTGGTGATGATTATGTGTATGTAAAGTTCAAGTTGGCCAAATGTGCTTTTATTCATGTGTATATATAAGCCAAACGTACTTTTATTTATATGATGCATGCGATGCATAATTCACACAATACCTGATGCCGAACGAATGTTTTTCAACCACTACCTTAGCGCAACTGTCTGTAAATATAAAGAGTAGGGTGATTGTGACTATTGATGTTTGTAATCGTTTTATCTCAAATTTGGGTAATTACACCCAATAATAAGATAATTAGTTCGCTAATTCATGAAGAAATATATCTGATTCGACGGGAATAAATGCTGATGCTAATGATTCTGATACTAATAATAATGGTATTCGATTCGACGGGTTAAATGCTAGTGATAATGATCTGATAATATTAACATGGTGCCTATGATTCTAATACTAACAATAATAGTAATGTTACTAATAACATTAATAACAATAATAATATTTCTACTCAAAATAATACCAGCTACACCAAAAGCAGTAATAATGATATTAACGATAACAAAATTATGATAGCCACAAAGAGAAGACCATACGAAACGAGCATTATGGGAAGGAATGATTCATCTATTCCATTTTCATTATCTCTTATGTGTTATCATACCCATCTGTTTCTTTTCAGCTTTGTTGTCAGAATGATCTCTGATATCCGGATATGTTATGAAATAATTTGATAGTCTGTACACTCATTTTATGCTAATGAAGCTTTTTTCTTTGTCCCTATTATCTAATAATCTTAATAATTCAATATCTGTTAATTCTACGCATTTTTGTACTGTACGCTCCCTTCATCAAAATTTAGCTATTTACTTTTGTTATCCTAATGAATTATCAGTTATATTTCTATCGCGACTCACAAGACATGACAGCGACAAATTTTTTTACTTTCTGAAATTTCAAGATTTCAGTTCATCGTCAGCAAAATATGCCTTTTGGTTTGAGAAGAGCCTGTGCAAAGTCACGTTTCAAAAAAATTTTTTTTTCGAGGGAAGCTGCCTCAAACTGTTCTTCGTCTGAGACTTCATGTTACGCGAATATCAATTAACGGAATTTCCAGGGTCTCATCTCTTCAAGAAGATGCTCTTCGATCCACAAACAGTGTGTACTGAATTTTGCTTCAAGAAGATTGAAAAAAAAAGACCAATGATTTTTGCTTACGGCGCCAAATTGCACGATATAGGTGGTGCGATTTTTCAACAATTTTTTAAAATTGAAATTGCACAGACCTTGCTTCCATTCAAAAAGACGCGATTTTAGGGAGGTGAGACCGAGAAAATTTATAATGTTAAAATCCGTGCACTACGACACATGAGGCGAAAAAAATTCGACTTATATTTCTGAGATGAGATTTTTCAGAGTTTCCTATTTTCCATTAGAAAAATTCGTCATTCTAATGAATGCATACGCTCGGATATGCTTGTGAGCGACGGAAGATTATTCCAATACAGTGATTCTCAGCCTTTTCTTCTCGTTATAAAGCTCAATATCATCATTAATTCGCTTCTTTATTTCTTCGATACGCAAGAAATTGTGATCTGGTCAGCTAGACAGTGGTCTCTTTCGCTCTAAGCAAATGTGAAAACATCGCTAATTGATAGTTCCTGGATCACAAAAAAAATTCTCAACGGCAACCTGTGAAACGCATCCAAGTACTGAAATCCACGTGAATTTTAGCCTCATTCCGTCAGGTTGGGTTTAGTTAGAGGAGGAGACTGCATCAGATGTGTCTTGACCAAGTGTATTGGATGCATTTCATAGATTGCCATTAATAACACTGACACCGGATGCTGAGACATTAAATGAGTGATGCGGCAAGTTGGACGGGGGCGCAATAGCGTAATTCTGATGGAACATTTCAATAGGTATTTTGAGTTATCATTATTGTTGTCGTTTTGCAATCAGGAATTAATCAATGACATGTCTAAAATCGTATTTCGTATCATCAAGTTGATGAGAATCATGAAAAATTCTACACTGATTAAGAGATTCATAAGCAGTAATTAAGAGAGACTGCCAGCTATGTTTGTTTTACTGTGGAAATCGCTGGCTTTTGATGGGTAATGCTAATCTGATTCACTGAGAGGAGTGCTTACGGTTTAAAGATGTAGACAAAAGAGAAGGATTTACATGCATTCTTAAACTGAATCGATCTGTGAAAAATATAAATTGCTGTTGTTGTTTGAATTCAAAAAATTTTGCTGAAAAGGCAAGTGAAGTAAGAAACCGAAATGATGAAATTCAGCCTAACGACAGTTTGCCTAATGGACAGTTTGCCTGTTAGGCGAAATATCCATTTAAAAACCGTAAGTTAGG